ATGCACTAGTTAGAACTTGTAAGGTAGGAATGCAGGCTACCTTTTATATCATAATGTGCACCATATAATTTAGAAACAACGACGGCGTCGGCATGAAAGTGTCATCAATGAGCTTTTCAAGATGTCCACTGTAGTAATCGTTCATTAGGCATTCGTACAAAGGTGACAATATAGCCTTCACTTTGGAAGCAAAGAAAGTTATGTGATAGTTTCAAATATTGAATATAAGAGGTTATTCGATTTCAAGGCGAACCTTCGATTTTCATTGTCCGTTTCTTGTACAAAGCGGTGCTCTCTGAATAAAGATGAATTTGTTTGCTAGCAAGTCCAGAACAAAACAATCAAAAATATTCTTATCTTGCAATTACTAACATGCGTGCTAAATTATAGTGTGGACCCCGGCCAGCTTCCCATAGGTACCTCCGCGGCGCACCCGCAGCGCGTGCATTTCTTGATGCTTTTCACCTCACTTATGAGCAATAGAGCATATCTATATCTCGGTTGGATGGCATTGCTATTGTATATACAGCTCATAATCTGTTTTGTACGAGAAGTAACATTTCTCTTGTATGTATAGTATATATCTCTACTCCAGCAGCGAGTTCTTGTGTAAATTTATCTGTGCTATCAGGTTGGTAAAAGATCATTTCAGCTTGTGTCACTCAACAATCGTAAAGGCGAGTCTGCTTTGAAGCTTAAATTCTCTTCAAAGCACGAATCAAAAGAATTTCATCGTTTGTTTTTAGGTAGTTTGCAGTACAAAAGGACTTTGTAGCAGTCGTCAAAAGCATCTTATATACAGGGTGTCCCAAAAAAATGTGCCTACTGTTTGATTGTAAATAACTCTCTTGTAATGAAGTGTTTCGAGAAGCTCTAGGTACCATTTTCTAGAGCGAGGTTGAACTTAGATTGCAGTAAGGAGCGAATCATCTATCGCTCTTCATTATTGTAGGACTGCGGTAAGAACTTCCAACATAAGGAACCAATGTGAAAAATACCACCTTATAAAATTTTTTTCAAAAAATCTGAAAAATCGTGTATTAGGGTTTTCGCGCATGCTGATCCACCTATCAACTTTTTACGTGTTTTCAGCTTTTTTGACGGTGTAATTACATTTCTGACAAATGCTGGGAATTACGTTATTACGGTTTACCAGGGATAACTTTGGAAAGAAGCATCACAATAGAATGGGAAATTCAAATTCGGAATCAGCGGCTTCCATTACCGTAGTATAAGAGCTTTTGGCTGGTTTGGTTTTGCTCCGAGGCAGACTATAGCATCCAATGGCCTAGAATCGTTGTCGAAGTTCGTACCGTAATCCTACAGTAATGAAGAGCGATAAATGTTTCGCTCCATACTGTAAATCTAAGCTTAACCTAGCTCTACAAAGCGGTACCTAACTTTTCTCGAAACACTTCATTACAAGAGAGTTATTTACAAAACCGCTCAGAAAAACGTGTGCAGACATGTCAGCATTATCTCCCCATATTAGCTAAACGCTACAGACTATGCCCTACCTAATTACCACATTGTCCGGTCTATCGCTCATCACATGAGAGAACGCCAGCTCAATTACAAAAATGGGAAGAAACGGAATTTCAGCCACAAAGTGAGTGTTTTGCGCATGGAACGCGGATGCGACGGTACCGTTGAATAGGCCTTTTGACCCTGCCCATAACCCGGAACATGAGATCTTTTTAAAGCTTCTGAGATCTTTATGAATGAAAATAAAAAGTGCAACAGAAATTATCCGACAACGTAGATTCAGTGAAGAACTGCACTCATATGGTTGCTGTGCACTGGACTATATGAAAACATCCAAGAAATTTATTCTGCTTGGAATCCGTAAATGACAAGACTTCAGAGGGACCGTAGCTGGGCCTTATGCTATTGCGGGAGTGGAGCAGACGATAGGGGTATACCAATTATATGGACTTTGGTGAGTACAAAGAAAAGAAGAAGATGTTGAATCAAACAGGAACACTGCGACTAAAGCCTTAGACTATCAAATTGCAATACAAACAGCAATTATTATATTTAACTCCGATTCAGTTGCATGCAGTTTGCGCTGGAATTTTCGGAAATGTGTCGTAAGCACTTTCGAGCTAAGATCACTACATAAAACATAAAAACTGAATAATTCACGAGCACGAGCAAGTTGATTGTTTGATTTTATGACACTCATGGTCTATTCAAATGTGTAGAAAGAGTGAGGGAGAGAGCTCTTGCTTTCGCGATTATACAGAGGCTATCGAGGATCTTTGAGAAGAAATTTTTGCACGTGGATTACATGCCTTTTCTCTGATATTAGTGATTCCACATTTTTGAAGATCCTAGACAGCTCCGCAAAAATAGAATCCTTGACAACTTTGAAGAATTATCAATCTTGAAAGTAACAAACCTATGCAGATTCAATCTAAGTAGAAAATGCTGGCTCATACTTTTTCTTCGTACATTTTTTGGTAGGAAACCTCCAAGCAGAATAAATTTTCTTGGATGTTTTCATTTAGTCCAGTGCACAGCAACCATATGAGTGCAGTTCTTCACTGAATCTACGTTGTCGGATAAGTTCTGTTGCACTTTTTATTTTCATTCATAAAGATCTCAGAAGCTTTAAAAAGATCTCATGTTCCGGGTTATGGGCAGGGTCAAAAGGCCTATTCAACGGTACCGTCGCATCCGCGTTCCATGCGCAAAACACTCACTTTGTGGCTGAAATTCCGTTTCTTCCCATTTTTGTAATTGAGCTGGCGTTCTCTCATGTGATGAGCGATAGACCGGACAATGTGGTAATTAGGTAGGGCATAGTCTGTAGCGTTTAGCTAATATGGGGAGATAATGCTGACATGTCTGCACACGTTTTTCTGAGCGGTTCAAATCTCAGTGTGCGCCATCTTTGCAATCATCGGAATTTTTACGAAGAAAACGTCTTCAAAAAATTTCAAAAAATCATTTTTATGTTTTCTGTGTTCATTTCTATACGATGCACATGAAAATTTAGGAAAGTTTTTGAATTTTTTTGATATTTTTTTCACCCCTCGCTGTGAAACGCTAAAAGCACCGCAATGCCTCCATGTAAGAGACAATGCCAAAATACGTTCTAAAAAAATTCTGGAGAGGGAAAGGTGCAAGTAGATGCAGAGAAGAAGATCAGACAAAAACTGAAAAATTTGACTGCTTTTACAAAACTGCCGTAAACTTGTTGGTCATTAGTGCACTTGCGGAATCAATCATGCTGGTGACCCTGCTATGTCCTAAGCGCGTTGCAGATTTGGGGTTTTCAGAAAGCTTCTGGAACTTTCTAGAAATTTTAGAAAAAAGTGTAACAGAAATTATCCGACAACCTAATAAAATCATTTTGAGAACCAGGCCACCATCTCAATGTTATACAGGGAAGATTCACAGTAACTTAGGTGTAACGTAAATCATTAGCTGCTGTTCAGTCTAGAATTTAGTGAACTCTTGCAATGAGCCAAATCTTATCGTTAAAGTTGGGATTCGTATTAGATCTACTGAGAATCTGCAAGAATCTTCAAAGGGTAAATGAGAGTCTGAAATCGAAGTGAAAATCTCTTCGTAAAATTGAACCATATCAATTGTAGAAAATGCTTGACTGCAACAAATTGATCTTTGAATTAGAAGTCTCGACAATTTTGCACACCTATGAACCGACTATCGTGCATACAATTCTGAGTCATCGCGCTCGTAAGCAATGCTGAGGATGAGGTGTGGCACACGTATACTTTGTGATCTTTGGCCGAAGACGTTTGCACTATAAATCTCTTATTTCGTTTGACTGTCTTGTACGCGTGTGAGTTAAAGAAAAAAGTTATGATAAGAGAGCAGTGCTTACTTCGCTCTACATCCAAGCAGTGTGCATAGCAAGGGCACTTGAAGCGATGCCATTTTCGACGAGGGTAAATTTGTCAAACTTGAATGTGGTTAGGTAAAATTTTTTCCAGAATAGATACACATTATTTCTGCAACTTAGACCTATTAAAGTATTTGCTGAATCATTTTCATGCGAGGGATGAGTAGCATAAACGATGTATCTCTTGATATTCGAATTTTCTAGAGTTTTTGAACGGTGGATTAGGAGCCAGTCGCTAATTTCTACTTATTGCGCGAACGAGCGAAAGGCAAAAGCACCTCAGTAAAAGAGAAAAATGATAAGATCACAAGCAAAATAGTACTACCAAGATCATTACCGGCTGCCACATCGCTCTCACTCAAAACGAAACGATACTCGGTGTCCGTGGCCTTTTGAGATGAGATGTATGCCATTACGCTCGTCTTGGAGCGCTGATTCCGAATCTGACTCCCATTTTTGCTAATCGTCTCTGTGAAAAAAAGTCATGAAGGATTCTTCTGCCAAAGGAGACATGGTCGGAGTGCCAAAACCGCCGCTACACTGACGTGGTGTAGTGACCAACCCGATAGTCTCACAAGTTAGTGAAAGTTTAGATTCGAGTCCTTCTGTGTTTTTCAGTTTTGCACTGCCTCAGTCAAGCTTCTTTTTGAAAGTTAGGCATTCTCGACCGTATTTCTCCTGGGCGAGCATTGACGCGAAAATCCTTCATAATTCTTTTAGAGAAATGATTAGCAGAAACGCAAGTCAGATCCGGAATTAGCGTTCCAAGACGAGTGTGATGATAAACGTTTCGTCTTAGAAGGCCCACGGACACCAAGTATCGTTCCCTTGTTTGTAAGTTCAGTAAGCTTTGATTTTTATAGAACACGCTTCTGATAAGTGTCACTGCTAACAAAGTCCTTTCGTACTGCAGACATCTACCTAAACGCAAACGATGAAATTCTTTTCATGCGTGCTTTGAAGAGAATTCAAGCTTCAAAGCAGATTCGTCTGTGTTGAGTGACACAAGCTGAAATGATCTTTTACCAACCTGATAGCACAGATAAATTTACAGAAGAACTCGCTGTTGGAGTAGAGATATATACTATACATACATGAGAAATGTTACTTCTCGTACAAAACAGATTATGAGCTGTATATACAATAGCAATGCCATCCAACCGAGATAAAAGCAGCATGCAGCTCGGACTACTCGTTTAAGAGGCTGGCTGGTGAGCGATGGAGTATTTACATAGTTCTGGAAGTTAAGGTTTGAGAAACATTAGAGTAGTGCAAAAAGCGAAATTACTCTTTTATTCCACATTGTTCCATACTGTAGTTGTACAGAGCTTCGCAAGCTGCGTCGTCTAGAGCGTTCTTGCTCTCTTTGGCCAGTTTGCAGTCTCTGCAAAGAGGGAAGTAAGACATTTCAATTTACTCCTCGTGAAAACTTACGCGAAGTATTTTCCACTGATTCCGTCAATTCTTGGGCTCAAAGCAAGGTATAGCGCCGTTTGTGCACCATCCTTCTGGGTTTTGAATAAAAGCCATCTGAACATAGGTAGTCTTTCCAGAGTAGTAACTATTTACAGATTTAAATTACCTAATTGGATAAGTGAGTTCCCTCAAAGGAGGAGAGGCGAAAAGTGTATGACGGTAGAGATTGGTATCAACGTATCCTGGATGCATCGAGTTAACGAAAATGTGATGAAGTCCCTGTTCGTGCAATCGTTTGCTCATTTCACGTGCGGTCATAACCTAAAATACTAGGCAGATTTTAATTTGTTCAAAATTGATTTTCCCCCAGTGATTTCATGATTAACCTTTAATTCAATTGGCTTGGCGGCTGGAAGGCGGGGCTTTGTAACCTAGTCAAAGTCGCTCGCGCCCGTGGCGCAGTCTGCGTCTCTCCGCAAGCGTGCTCTCTGATCATTACCTAGCCTCAATCAAATCACGAAGCCCGCCTTCCAGCCGCCAAGCTAGTTGAATAAAGGGTACTCATGTAATCCTTTTTCTTTTTGATCTTCTTCGACAACATCATTCTTGTGTTAATCAAACGAGATGAAATTGATTACGATTTCAGTTACTGCAGTTTCAAAATCTTCTAAAATTATTTTAGTTTTTTACATACTTTACATAAAAGCCACCGAAACGACTTCGATCTAAAGCTACAATCTCCTCAACTCTATCTTTCACCCCTATCTTCAAAGAAAAAACTTGCATTGGCTAATTTGCTGCGGTTGTATGGGTCCAACAGTCCAAATTGCAGCTTATCGTCGATAGTGTCAAGATTGAGCTTCTTGCTGAACTTGTGGTGAATCGATGCTACCCAAATGATCTTTGCCTTTGGTGCCTTTTCAAGAGCAGGTAAGAGCAGATGTGTGAGAAGGAAGGGACCTGCAAGTTTCAGAATTACACCTGGAAAAGATTGAATATTATATTATAATATTATCTGAACCGAGAGAGCGCTTGTAATGTATTTGCACATACTTCAAGCCAGATCAAATTTTAACCAAGCAAAAAAGTCGAAAAATAGACGGTTAGTCATGACATCGAGGTACCTATGCGATGTTCTCGATGCTGTTTGTGCTCTTTGAATCATTTTATCAAAACGTCCATTGTTTCAACTTTTGCTGGGAAGTGAAAAGATTTGATAATTTGTAAAAACAGCAGCTGTCGTCAAAAAGAAGGGAAATCAGAGTCATGGATAGATATTTTCCTCTGTTTTCGGGTTCATAACTTTCAATTATGCCCATCACAAGAATTGGCAAGTTGTATTGACTCTTTAAAAGCGAAACTGCAAATGACTTTTGTGTGGCTAGCAAGATCACTATTAGTAGGCTAAAAAGATGCAGAATTTAGCTCACACTGGCGACAAATGGGCAAGAGTGAAAGTAAGTAAGATTTACTGACTTGAATGAGTATATAATCCACGTTTTTTTTTTTAGCAACGAGATATGAAAATGTCCAACTTCGCAGACTCTTCTATGAGATTCAACTATCGCTCCATCACCCTATGAACTCTATATATGGACTGCAAAGTATTGTAAGTGCTTGCATTAACTTGCTCCACTGGGTAGTACGATATGACCTATGTAGGATTCTGATGCGAAAAGTCCCCTTTAATCGATGTCTCATATACTAGGTGCTCATATATTTTGCACCCCCTTTTATGACACACCAGTTTCTCTCAAGCAGAGTTTCTTTCATTTCTGCAATGCCTATGACCCTGACCATGCAGTTCACGCGCCGTAACACCGACACAACAACATGTTTACGAATTTGCCCTATGATGTTCGATCGATAGCAGTTTGACAGCGATTTGTAAACAAGACGGCTCTATCGTCCATGCCTCTGCGACAAAGGTTTGTTAAAGGTATGCAGAAGACGTGATACAATGACAAATTTGCAGCTCAAAGAGTATGATAAGAATGATCCCCATGCTCCGTATAAAACTGGGCTTGGTCGAATATTGTTGTGCCGAACAGATAGTTAGGTGGTCTTTTCGTCAATAATCTTCGGCTTTACATTTCGCCGCCTACGTCTTAAGCAAAGGCCTGGAATGATCCAAAACTTCGTCTGTGGTTCCAGCCCATCAAGCTCTCCACTAGTGCCATTTATTGGTTTTTCTTCCAATCTAGTGCTAGAAAATTTGCGATGGCAAAAGACATAATGGCAAACCACTGCTTCGTTAGATGTCCGTACCGGATGTAGATGTTCGCGACTGACGACTCACAAAAAAGTTATAGTTCACGTAACGATAACAATGGGAGGACATCGGCTATTATGGATAAAACTCGTTTTTGTTGTTCAATTCTAAAAGCATTTGGCAGATAAAAGGCACAAAAACTTGGCTTTGCCGCTTGGCATACACAGGCACGAATCACATGGTGGGGATGGCTTTGATATCAGAGTCACAATTCTAACATTCAAAATAGGGATCTCGGCTAGGAAAGCCTTGTAACCGTTCGATTTCCTCGAAGAATCCAGAAATGAACAACTAACGAGTGCTTATCCATACCCGCTGATTTCCTCCCGTTTTTATCATTATATGAGCTATAACTGTTTATGTGACATCCAGCTCAGTAGAGCTCACTCTTGCGTGCTAACATCTATATCCGGCACGAACATCTACCAAGACGGTGATTTCCTGGTATGTCTTTTGCTTTTGCCATCACAATTTTTGTAGCACTAGATTGGGGGAAGAGCCGAGAACTGGCAAGGACACTGAAGTTTGATGGGCTATAGTCACGAATGAAGCGGTGAACAATTCAGGCCTCTGATAAAACGATAGTCGAAACGTAAGGCCAAAATGTATTGTTGAATAAAAGACCACCTAACAACCTGCTCGGCACAACAATATTCGAATGAGAATTATCCATTTTCGGTTCAGTAGGAAACATCGAGAAAAAAAAGAACAGAGCCTCAAGACAATTTCCGTTTCACCATGCGATGACCCTCATGGCTAATCGTACGATAATTTGACTTATCGGTTTGACTATCACAGTGTAGCCTATTTTTCCATAATTGACGAAAAAAATTATCAAATTAACCTAGGTGATTGATCTGCCAAGTCCTCTCGTGTCCATCAACAGTTCTTTCATATGTGGGAAGGAACATAACTCCAGCGTTGTTGATTAGGATGTCAATTTTTTCCTCTTCTGCAATTATACGGTGCAATTGGCCCTCATCAAAAAAACTAATAGTTATCAAGTTCCCACTTACGTGCTAAGAGTTCTTTGGCGCAGGCGCGGATACTGCTAAAATCTGCAAGGTCGCAGACCATGTGGTCAAGCCTTGTTGCATCGCATCCCATCTAAAAAAAAAATGTTTGATAATCAGATGTTTCCAACACATTTTACGAAAATCTTCTTATACAGATCTCCCAAATTGATTTCTGATGTATGGTAGAATTACCTTTACTAAGTTGATTTTAGCATCAGTTGCTGCTTTGTCGTCACGACAAAGCATGTAGACCTGGAACGTATGGATGTTAGGCAAACAAATGGACTACAAAAATCTAAGCAAAAATGAAAATAAACCAAACCTTGACTTTAGCGAGATTCATTCCTCGTACTGTCTCTAACCCAATTCCACTATTCCCTCCACTCACGACGGCGACTAACCCATCTCCATCTACGATGTCTTCAAACTGTTCACCTTTGAAGTACTTCCTGTAAGCATAAAAAAGTGATATCATGTTGATCATAACAGAACTTGCCCCTTCAATCAGACTTTGCAGCTAGGAAGAGAGAAGAAGCGCTTTCAACTGAGGCAATTCCATACCAGTGGACATTTTTTGCACTTTTTATTTGATATTAAACACGTCTGAATAAAGGATTTACCTTATCATGAAGATGGCACCAGCAATTGCCGCGACTGCTAGTATATAAACTACGGACCTGTCTGCTTCGTCTGCCGTAGAAACGTTCATCTAGATAATACAGCATGTATTTTTGAGAAATCACAAAAGAATAGAATAGCATACAGCATGTATTTTTGAGAAATCACAAAAGAATAGAATAGCAAAGCGGGAGTAGAACTATGGTACGGTGTATGAGGAGAATATTCTCTTTGGACTGCTAGAACGATACAATGGATTGCGAGAACGATTGTGAATGTCTTCTACGAATTTCATGCTTTTGTTGGTTCTAATGCTCCACGGTTTGCCAACATACGACAAATTCACGAAATCCACATTGTACATACGACTCCATTTTCCTAGCAATACTGCAAAACATTTAAGCAAATCATTAAGGTAATTCCAGAACATTCGGGTACTACCCCACTTAACGCCTGTGGGCTATAAAAATGTGCAAGTGACTTGTTTATTTTTGTAAATAATTAAAATAATTTTTAAAAATTCAAATTAGCTTTGTAAAAAAAATTTTTTCGGAGGCGTGGCTAACGCCATGCCCCCTTTTTCTAGATTTTAGGGGTCGGGGACCCGCAAAAGTTTTGAGAAGCACCCCAAAAAAATTTTCGGAGTGCGTGGCTAACGCCACGCACCTTCTTTAGAAAAAAATTTTTGTCGCGCCCCCCCCCCCCCGCGCCGAAATCCTGGGTACGCCACTGTCAGAATCATATTCGTGCATAGCGACACCATCTTCTCAATACGGGGTTGAACGGTAGATGAGTCAAAAATTCAAATTTGCTCAAAACCTTGGCCAAAATACTTTTTAGTCACTGATTACGACTATGATGAAGTGTCGCTCTAAAAGGAACCTATTTTGGAGCTCTCCTCAATAAATATTATCCCGACCACTTTTCTACATATTACGAAGACTAAACGAAAGGCATAGAGCCACTTCAAAACGTCCAGCTAAACAGAAAGATTTTTTAACTAGGGAAGGAAGCTGGACTGGGTCCGTAACTGTTTGTCCCCTCATATACAACTGGCGACGATACGTGTGTACAATGTATACAACAGACAATGAACAATGGATGATGAGTTACTATAGCAGGATAGTAAACATGTGCCGAGGTGCGAGTATCGACTGCTTCTTGTTTACCACTGCTTTGCGAGAGGGGTGGAGCGCAAAACATTGGTCGCCATGGAATGATCTGAAGCGAAGGCCCGAATGGGCGGGGACGGCTGTTGGTAAACAACCATCTGCGAAGTTTTCTGCGGCGCTTAAACAAACATCGATTTCTCGCCAAGTCAATCTTTGATCACTCCGGGAAAACCCCTAGTATCTTCCTTTTTTTTTGGGAATCAGCAGGACCACTACTGAATTTTTCGTTTGCAGGAACTGAGAATTTTCTAGCCTTAGTTGGCCAACACTGCACACAAAACGTGGGGCTAAACTTAGCTCTTTGGTTTATGATCGCTTACGTGGAGCGAATGGCCTTGCGGGCCGATGTTTGGTCGCTCGTAAGAGTAATCGATGTGAAAAGCTAACATTCTTGACATCACAGAGTTTTCTCGGTCTTACTCATAATGTTAAATCACTATTAGGATGATTAGAACTCGTGCCAAAAATTTGGAAAAACCTATAATTTTTCCCAGCTTCAATAAATCTTTCGCTACGATATATAGAGAAAATCTTATGCTTTCCAAAAGCACTTGAAGCAAAATCTACTGCCATATTGCAATGATAAAGCTGATAAAGAAAACCACTCCAAAGGGGACTTCTTTAATCTCTCTCGTTGAATTGCTGTTGATTTCTATTTTCATTTTCTTTGAGTTTTTTGGTTTTTTTTTGGTTTAAGACTTACGTGTCAATCAATCCTATACAATTAGTTAGAGAAAGGAGGTTCAAGAGGAATTCGTATACACCAGCCGTTAGTGAGCATAGAAAAAAAAACTAAGAAATTCGTTTGCATTTGAGCGAATCTTTTATCGTAAATTTTTGTCAAGCATACATCTTTGAGCTTGAACAGCTAGGCTGCGTCTTCCTCAGAAAGTTGTGGAGCTGAACGTTTGTTCCAAATTTGAATCTTCCAGACTATGCTTGTGAGTTCAGCCTGGGGAATTCGCAGAACAAGGGCACCATAATTTAGTCAAAAATTAGTATTTAATTCTCAGAAAATGTTTCATTTTTTTCGACATTTTCCAGTAAATGCACCCATTTGTTATAATGACCATATTGCACCAAAGACTAAATGCGAAAATATGTAGCTCAAACTTATTTCTTCAAATTCAGAGCTAGTAAAGTATAAGACTTACTTCGGAAACATTATCATTTCGTACTAAAGTGCGGCTAGTATCTGCGTCGCGCGTGAGACCCTCATTTGGAAAACAAAAAATCGTCAAATGAATTTTTTTAGTCAAAGCGCACTCAGTATTCCCCGATCGCCAAGGACATACATCTTGAGGAACAAGTATCTCATGACTTCCCTCAGGAATGTGGAGAGAGATTGCGATTTCAAGCCTCTTTTTCTAGTTACAGGTAATTAAGCATAGTTCTCATCCGAGATCCATCCAGTAACGTAGACGAGCAGATCAATTCATTTGAGATCGTGTTGGACTAAAATTTATTTGCAGAGTACATTATTTACACTAAAAATTTATACAGAGTATATTTACATAATTCTAGATCTGCTAGGCATTATGAAACGAACAATGGAGACAATACAGTATGTACAACATTAACTCAATTTACGTTTCATAGCGCTACTTTACACGCTCCAGTCATTACGGATATACAAAAGCAAGATGAGACGGATTCAGGCAACACACGTTTTCACTCCAGACCGACTTGTTCCATACTGTAATCGTACAGTTTCTTGCAAGCCTCGTCGTCCAAAGCGTATTTTCCCTCTTTTGCCATAAGGCAGTCTCTGAAATCGCAGTCATTTAACCTTTTTCAACTGAGAAGTATTGAAACTTACGCGAAATATTTTCCACTGATTCCATCAACTTCCTTACTTAGAGCAAGATACAGGGCAGTCTGCGCACCATCCCTCGAAGTCTTCATGAAGAACCACCTGAATCGAATCTTATTAGTTTTGTCATGCAATGCGATACTCTACAACATCTTGAAATTTGGTTATTTAGCTAAGATTCGGGAAGGCTGTCTCATTTACCTGTTATCCATTCAACTACTCAATTCTTTACCAATATGACCCGCAAACCTTATGAAGAATTGTGCAATATGTCATTTCTGTAGTCAAAACAAAATTTTCTAATAGAAGAAGAATGTAGAATGCGCATAGAGGTTAACTTTTGAAACTTCAGACTGCTTTAGTAAAACAATCATTGGGTATGGGAATGGCTGGACCTAATTTCATATGAGGATGCTAATTGTACTTTTACATCCAACTTCAATTATTTTGATGAAAACAACATGGGCATTCCACCTTTCCTTCACCACTTCGTTTTAAAAAAATTCCTGCTCAAACAGGGGTAAACACCTGGTTCTCATTAGATTTCTAAATCCTATGCCAATGTTATGCAAAATCTGCAGCCTATGCATAAACCGTCGAAAGCGAAACCCCAGAATCTGGGGTATGTTTCCCTTCCCTCTCCCACGTGGATAAATCAGCCTCAAAACAAATCCGATACAGATAAATTCGTTCAGACTTATTTGACAAGGTTTTAGGGTAGTAGTCATGTTGGAAAAAAGACCTATCTGTAGCCGGATCTTAACTGAAGACGAACTTACCTGAGGTCAAGAAGGCCTTATATACTAAAATTTAGGGTATTTTCAGATAACCTGATAAAAAGGCTCTTATAGCGAAGGTGCGCTATACCTCAGTGGATAGATCAGCTGACGTATGGGTGGGTAGTCGAGGATTGTATGGCGATAGCCAGTGCTGTTCACAACCCCAGGATGAAGGCAGTTGATAGTGACGTGATGTATGCCTTGTTCTCGCAAGCGTTTGCTCATTTCCCGTACAGTCATTACCTAAATATCCAGACAATGGACGGATAGTATTATTTCGTGTCAAACACTGCCAGGCTTCATCTAGCAGAAACTATTTTAGACGAAAAATTTTGAGTTTAAAACATAAATCCTATTACAATCGGAAGAAAAATTCCCGATGAGCTTCGAAAATTTTCCCCATTTCCAAATTACGTAGAGAGTTGTAGTTTTCCAATCTGCACGTGTCTCATACTTCAGAATTTGTGCAAAGATTCCTGGAGAAGAACACGAACCTCCAAACTGCCTTCCTGATCCTACGGAAAATGCATAAAAAATTGAAATAGACGAATGAGTGAATTTTTGAAAGAAGGAAGAAAAATGGAGGTAGAAGTGCTGTTATGGAATTGCCCTTTATCACTCTGCAACTCGTATCCGTAAAAGCAAAACTGCGAATAAATCTTTCCAAGAAGAGTCCCTCCACATTTATCAAATGTGAAACTATGCCAATGCTAAGGTTTCCCAGAAAGAAAGAAAGTTCCGATCTGAAACCGTTGAAAAAACGCCTAATCGAGGCTCTCTGCTGTGATGCTTATGATGTTTGGGTGATTCTAGTAAACTTACGTTAGCCAATTTACTGCGATTGTATGGTTCAATGCGTCCCCAACTCTTTTCGTCGTCGACGGTGGATAAGTCTATTGGACTGCTCGCCATATGAAGTAATGAGGCCACAAGTACGATTCTTGCTTTTGGAGCTTTCTCGAGAGCTGGCAGAAGTAGCTGAGTCAGAAGGAAGGGTCCTGAAATAGAGACAGAGTTAATTCGCAATACAAATTAGCAGCATATCGTTTTCCTATCCCTTCAAACGATATGTGACCAATACTGGTAACTGACATATAAGTAAACACAAAGCTGCGACATAAGTTGCTTACTTGGAAGGCAAATAATTTTTTGCTCTTATAATTAGACACATAACGGCAGTATAATTTCGAACTTTTTTCGCAATTTCGAACTAACAACTTTTAACTCCATTTGAAAGATTGTACAATGAGAACTGTTGGGCAAGGCGAGAACGGTTCTTAGATTCCTCCCTGACTTTACGGTCATTTACTCATTGTAGTGAACTCAAGACGAAAGTTTCGGAGTCTGCACTTGATCGCCCTATCTTATGACGGAGCTCTACGTAATGTTTTTAGCCTTTCTTGTACTCGATCCCTTTTCACCCACAACTCGACTTCTGTCCTAAGTCACTAGGGAATACTGACCTAGATGGTTACACTGCCAAGTCATTTCGTGTCCGTCCCCTGTTCTCTGGTATTTCGGAAGAAACAGCACTCCAGCATTGTTAATAAGGATGTCGATTTTATCTTCCTCTAGAAAATTAATTGATTTATTTTATCATCACCAAATTTGACAGAGGGCAAAAAAAAAGTCAAAAGTTTAACTCACTCGATAAAAGCTCTTTCGCGCATGCTCTGATGCTGCTAAAGTCCGATAGATCACATTTCACAATTATGAGCCGTTCCGCATTACATCCCATCTGCAAGGATCAGTACTCAAAACAATTAGGTGCTAATAATTGAGCATATTTTCAGATAAATTTTCAGAATAATATGATTTGTATAAAAAACCGAAATGGAAATAAGGAGAAGCAGACTGTCTAACATCAAATCGTCTAACAAAATCAGAACTCACTTGAACCAATTTGATCTTCGCCTCAGATGCTCTTTCTTCGTTTCGACATAGCATGTACACCTAAAGCAAATGAATTCACAACTGAGCGTATGGTCAGTAGGCTAAGCGGACCTTGACTTTTGCGAGATTTAGGCCTCGTACTGTTTCCAGTCCAGTTCCAGCATTGGCTCCAGTTACCACAGCTACAAGACCCTCGCCATTCACTCTTTCCCTGAACTGTCCACCCTTGATGTACTTCCTGTAATTATCAAGAATGAATTCGATGAAATTTGTCAAAATCAGTATGCTCTGTCTTCGTGCATGCGTCAAAAAGGCAAAAGATTATGAACCTTGGTATGCGTATTTATTATTTTATTTGAAAAAATGACAACACCAACCTCAAAATGTATGTGCCAACTGCAAGAACAACAGCACCAAAAATGTAGAGAATATTATGGTCCGACCTGTTTAGCGCCGACGACATAGCAGCTATCTGTAAGTATGGTCATATAGAGTGAATTATGAAATGGGTAGTATTAGGTTGGCACATAAGTTTTGCAGTTTTAACTTTTCTCTTTTTGACCGCGACGCATTCATCCTTGGGCTATATTGTAGATTAGATGGTAGGCTACAAATTTAGGCGAACAGTTTGATTTCTGATACCGAAGTGGAGAGATTTTACGCATTTTCGAAAGCTGGTCAAATTCGAATCTCCAAGGATCGAAAAACCAAAAATAAAGCGGTTCTCAGACTAAATCTAACACATCAAGCCGAAACTGTACCCAGATTTTTGATAGAGGAATCTTTAATGATCTATACAGTTTCGGCTCTAGATGTGCGAGATTCAGACAACGGCTTTGTTTTTGGTTTTCCGACCCCTGAAATTTCAAATTTGACCAGCTTTCGAAAAATGCGTAAATTCCCTCCGCTTCGATACCAAAGATCAAACTGTTTGCGCACATTTGTAGCCTACTATTTAATCTACAATATATGCCCCAAATATGAGTGCGTCACTGTCAAAAAGAGAAAAGTTACGAAATAAGTTGTACTTATGTGCCAACCTAATAAAGGCAACGGTATTGTGAGATGTTTCTTCCCTCGACTTTGAACTATTTTACGGAAAAATGCAAGAAGTGGAAGCGAAGAAAAACCATAGGGTAAAGAATATTCCCAACCATGCCCTCTAGATTCGATTATCTATGCAGCTTGAAGCGCAAATTGTGGTCTTCATTTACATATCAATTAGCTGTTCAACATTTTGATAAAAAATCAGTCATGACAGAAACAACAAAGAATACGAAAGTTCCACGGTTCATAAATCTCAACTTTTACATTGCAGTACCAGGCTCCATAGTATTTTTACATGTACATTTAGGGGCAATGCAGGTATCAAATATTTTATCAAAGCATCTACACTTACAAAGAGTCTAGACAACCCAAACGCCCGAAAACACAGTGGAAACACACGACTTATACTGGTGATTATAGAAGAAAACCTCTGCTGTAAAACACTGGTGCGCAGGTTCCCGAGACAACCTAAACAAGCACAAAGAGAGTTGCGAGTTTCAGTATATCGCTGAATGAGGAGTTACACACAAACAACAGCGTCGTAAACAACTTTGGTCTCTTGGCATCGATCGCACTTTGTTTACCATTGCTTGCTGCGGGGTCTGCAAAACAGCAAACGAGACGCGTCTAAAAATAAGGTGCCAAAGACCAAGGTACTTTGCTCCGATTTCAAGCGGAGCGTTTTACTTGCCATCGATAATCCTTGGCTAATCTCTGTGTTTTATGTGATAGAAAGTTAAATCCAAACTTGGGTGGCAAATTTGCAATCAAAACAATTTCGCGCGAAGTATGTGCCGCCATGTTCAGTTGTGTCATATAGCAGGAGTAAATAGACAGCAGGGAGAAAAACGTTTCGAAAACGGCCTTTCAAAAATTTCACCAAATTGTTATAGTGTGAATGGTAACAAAAATCAGAATTTTGAGGAGATGGGCAGATAAAGATTTTATAAACTGACTAGCTGGCTTACCCGGCTCCGCCGTATGTTCCGAATAGAAAATTCCATTTCTCAACCGATCCGGACCAAACTTGGCCCCGCCGGGGCCCGAAGTGTATGTGTGCTAAGTTTGGTCCCGATCGGTTGAGAAATGGAATTTTCTATTCGGAACATACGTACACACATACAGACAGACAGACAGACATACAGACAGACAGACAAACAGACATTCAGCTTTATATATAAGATGTATTCGTTAGTTAGCGTGCGATGCAAGATTGTCTACAGGAATATAAAAATGGTTAGAACTAGCGTAGTATTAGACCTGAACACATTCGCCCTAAAAGTCCCACATTATATATTAGGTTGGAACGAAAATTCTTGCATAAAAATAATTAATCTAACTTGCTTCTGCGTACTAGAAAATACCGAAAGATTTGCGCTCCGTGATAGACGTATAAGCGTAACTTTCTATGAGCTAGCCATAGAACGCAACTTTCGGAAATGTCGTTTCATTTCCGCTTTTGAGTTGTTTGAATATATAACAATATATATAACAACTGTAGATTTTTTACGCAGTAGTCCATAATTCGCTGTGGCAGCCTTTAACGTCGCATAGAAGAACAAAGACAAAAAATGCGTGAAGGATGCATGCGGGGAAATCCTTATTCGCCACAGTTTCTTTACAACATCCAGTTCAAGGACGAAAATCTTGCTTAGTGCTTACCTTTAACATTTCATACCTTAACATACTTCATTTCGGATATTGAGCAGGTTTTTGCTGCAAAAGTACAGTATAAAGTGACGTTTTTCAAGGATTTTATTTGCATGCGAGATCAAAGCTAGTCAGAGTAACGCATGGATAGCAGCTATGTTGAAAACTCAAGATTTTTTAGCACTAGTCAGCGGCCCTCCGCAATTCCATGGCATCAGGTGGCAACGCGAACGTTTGGAGCACCACTTTTGAACTTCGATGACTTCCTTATGAAAGCTTATGCTTAAACATCTATCATGGAACGCATACCTTTTCCTACTTTTGCAATGCAGTAGCATATATTTGATCCAAAAAATCAGGAAGTGATCAGATTATGTTGGAATCACGCAAGAACATTGACATATTAGGTAGTGTCAAAAGTACTTTCCTTTTTTCGCCATCAGAAAACGAGTTAAATAAATATGGGCAAATACTTTGAAGATTATCCGATGCTGCTTTCTAACTTTTGGGTATTCATGTTTCTGGACTATTTCTTTGGTCTAAATTAACCTCCGAAATCTGGTTGTTATGATTTTTACCATACCCCACTTCGGCAGTTTTTGAATTTCCTACTTTGAACTTATAGAAGATGGATAGAGTGAACAAGGTGCAATACAATAGAATTTTTTGACATCTCCTGTCTTTCCAAAAATTTTAGTCCTTTTTCTTCAATGTGTGTTTCCATGTTTAATCATGTCAAACTTCACAGATCGTCGACCGACGAGTAGCTCGGATGTCATTTGATGCAGCTCTACCTTTTCAGATAGGCGTTTCTTTTCGTTTCATGAGGCCATAACGAATGAAACTATAATAGGTAATTGTAAATTTCTTTTTGGAAGCAAAGCTCGCTTGCCTTGTAAACTTTGAATGACAGTAGAATTTTCGGGCTTTCAAATTCTAAAGGATTCTCAGTGTCTGATGCTTTCGTGAATGACACGACTTTGGAAAAGTTGAGACCTTGGAAAAAGTTCCTGAAAAGTACCGCAAAAGGTGAAGCCTTAAAAATCGATGTATTGCACTTTGTCAACTCTACTCATATCTATTATAAAATCATTATCCTCCTATAGAATAAAAAATTTTGAAAAACTGCCAGATAAGCGATAAAATCAGTTCGAAATTTTCACACCGTAAATGCGCGACCTGAAGAAAAACGTCGCATAGTTTCTGATGTGTCTGCCCATCTCATTCACATTTTTTGGTCGAATGAAAAAGAAGTTGTGAAAAGAGCCAGAATCTGGCGCATATTATGTTTATTTTGTCGTTTTTTGCTTCAAACTTCTTGTTCCACTATTCGCAGCCATCCGAGCTGAAGTATATCGAGGGTTTTATGCTGTGCATCGCAAAATTCTCAAGTAATAACTTATTCCCAGCGGCAGTAATCTAGCAAAGCGGAGAATGGTTTTGGTGAGCTCAATCTCAAAAATGACGAGAAATGAGCTAGTAAGTAATTCATGACTATCTGCCATAGGGAGAATCTCTTAATCCAGCAAAACGAGAAATCTTGGCCATTATATGACGCCTTCATCGCTCAAAGCCGCTTTAAGATCATTAACATTTCTATACTTTCACGAATAGCAAGTTCAGCCCTTTCAGAACTCCGTCATGGATTCTCTAGATTGCAAAGAATGTGGAGCCATCACAGGTTTACATTTGACTTTTCTGCTACTGTCAATGCCAGGAAGGTAATGGAAAGCATCCAAGCGTTTGGATACACGGAGTGCTTCTATCCAAACTATTCAGACCAATGTTTCTATTCAATCAGCCGAACTTAGACACTTACGTACAAGATTGTTTAGAACAAGTTTTTACTGAAGTAAAGTATCAGATCGATTTTGATTCATACAGTAATGGCAACGCATTAGTATCACTCAAGCATTTAGCTCGGCCTCTCTGGGCCATATTACAGCCCACATAACCTGCGGGTAGCATTAATACAATAGAGTAAGGCCATATAATATTTTAGGACCATCAAGTGCAAGAAATTCAGTTCAGCTATGTGTGAACGATAAGATGACCTGTGTTAATCCGTATAAAAGAAAAGCGGTATCATGCACAACACCAACTATGGGTTTCTCTAATGCGACGACAACCGTTATCGAACACCTGGACAGAAGTGATCCCGCTGCTTACTTCTACTACCTACTCTCCGAGACAAAAGCCATCAGGAGACAACTCAAGGACATCAAGAAAGAGCTCAAGATCATTCGGGAGGAGCAAGCCTTCATCTTGGAGCGAACCGAACTGTTAGCCAACTACTTCTCGCAATCATTGCAACAAGCAGCTCCCCAAGCCGAAAGACAGAGTAAAGATCACGAAGAGATTCCTCAACCTGACGAACAGTGATGGTAGTACTTTACTTGTTGTAAATCCTTTATTTTGTTGTTACTGCGGACCATCCATTGTGGAGATAAACCCCTACTTCAGGGTATTAACTCTACTACAACGCATTCAACTATCTATGAACTATTTCATTCTCTATATTCAGCAATTCTGTCTCGTACATTGCAATAAAATTGTAGCACCCTTTCCTTGTGTTCCCGGATTGCATTACCACCATCCTTAGAATCTTTCGTTCGTCTCTAGCTGAGCTTTATCAGTGACTGAACAAAACAAAAGTATACTTGGACTTCAAGCTCACACCATTTCATTCTGGTAGAAGCAAAATGAGTGTAAAAGTCGCTCACGCAAGGGATCTGATCAGAAGAACTTCTATTTGTTTTATCGTAGGTTCCCGACCACAAAAACTTTGATGGGAGATTCCAAAAATGCCCATGAAAATTTTTATAGTGCCATTTTAGTTGCCTCTGTTAGTCCCCAATTTCACGAGCAAAGGGGCTAGGTTTTGTTAATAAGATGGACCAGCGGAACGGCAAGAATTTAGCGACCCGAATGCCTCTACCGTACTGCTCATTACTTAAAAGAATCTATAGCGATCATATCGCAGGCACAAAGAAGCGGCTGAGCAGCTTGCTATTCATGAAATCAGAGTACAACAATAAAGATATACATATAAAAATCGAACATTCATCGCAAGAGTGACCTTAGCTTTTTACAAAAGGGTCAAAGTGAAATGAGACGATCATAGTGCCAGCAGCGTCACTGGCAGGGATTGGCTGTCTTCAGTCACTTCCTTCTCAAGCAGTTATCGTAGAGCTGCGACATTTTACTCTCATCACTTTCCATTTGTAAGAAACATATCGCATTCAACCACTTCCATTAACTGTATCCTATAAATTAATTCTCATTGTATCGACCAAGAAACTGATGTTTGCAACATCTAACTCACAAGAATGCATCTCTCCATAACTTCCAATTTCTCCGAGCTAAAAAACAGGTTGATGACTGATGATAAAATGATAATAAATGAATCGAAGCAACGCCTTACCTTAACCACCGCATCTGTCCCTCCAGAAACGACCACACAATTTTCCTGAAATATCAGAAAAATACATCATTTCCATCAATGGGGTACTTAATAGGAGCAGTTTGAGACTTAATACTCCTTGTATGCTATGTTAAAAGATTATATATTCAAAACAGGGTAAGATTGTTGAAAAGAATCTCTCCATAACTTATCACTGTTAAGATCACCGTTAGTGCTACCGAGGCGGATATCAAAAAATGCAAGTAGAGATATTTTGATAGAATAAAGCAAGCTTTACAGATGCTGCCAGAGATTAGCATAATACGTGATCCAAATGAAGTATGAAGTCAAAAATCATAATACTCCCTAAAAATCGTTTTTGCCCGAATGAAATTTTCTCCAGAAATTTTGGGAGCCTCAATCATTCTCACGCATAAACCACCCCTACCCCCGACATTTATATGTAAATTGCATTTTTTGTTGCTAAGACTCGAAGTAGAAAAGTAAACCAAATCAGAAGGTGTCAACTTCCTCTATGTTGGATATGACATAATTCAACAACTAGCGCCCATAAAAGGGTGCAACTTTATTCTACTTTATAAAATTTGTAGTACTATTTTCTTCAATTAGTGCGCGCTAAGTAGAAGGCACGCATAATTTTTCTGGGCCGAGATCTGCTTCTGGGGTACCCAAATGTTCCCAGATGATCCAAAATTTATATGGATCATAATCATAAGGATCTGTGGTGTCATCTGATGGAGCTTGCTTGGCTCTACCGAATCTCTCAAACATTCTTTGCCTTCTTACATTGCCAAAGAAATCGGCATTTTTTCTTTGAGTCAATTGGCCGAATGACACTAAAGTTCATTTGTAATCTCAAAGTGCAGGTGATTATATCGTCAACTTCCCTTGATTCTTGACCAAGAACCTACTTTGCTTCTGCCGGTGTCATCGGAAGTTTGTCCAGATTCGCCTTCCTAAGGTTAAGAGGTTTAGAGTCTCGAGTTGAAAAAGTAGCGAACTCAGTGACCTAACTCACAGGAATGTATTCCTCTATGACTTCCACTGTTTCTCCGAGCTAAAAGAATATTTTCGTAGCCTGCGAACTTGAATGAAGTGCCTTACCTTTACCACTGCATCTGTTCCTCCAGACACAACCATATCATTTTCCTAAAATCATAAACTACTGCCATGTCGCGTACTGCGATCAGTTTTACACACATTTCTTCGTGCATTTCCATGTTATTAGCTTATAAGTTCAAGATAGAAGGTCGTGCAGATGAGTAAATGTTCAGCGCCTCTTTGTTCTCATTTATCAAGATACTTATCTCGCTCCGAAAAACATTATGGGAGGGTCCAGATTCTCCTCTCTGCGACAAAAAGATTTAGCAGGCGTGTTTTTATACTATATATAATAATATTAGGTCGGAGAAATAGGTCTGCTTGAATTTTTTTTAGTTTTCTGAGACCTTTTGTTTCAATCAGCACCGAGTTTTATAAATTCAATATTTTGTTCCCAATTAGTGAGTTAAAAGCCTTCTAGCAGTGGAAATTGAATGCTCCAGAGATTCACAAAAACCTCGTACAGTTTTTTTATCCACTTATTTCACTCTTTGTATACTACGATTATTATTATTATTATTATTACTAGTATTATCTAGGATTATTACCACTATTCTGCTCGACCATCGTGAGCAAAGTAGTCCTTACTCGCAAAATTTTGAGAATTGCAAATGGTTTGATGTTGAAGAGATTACAAACCGAAAATTCATTTCAAACCAATGATAGCAGAATATATTTTCCGTAATAATATAGAGCCTTAAATGATTTTTCTCTTCAACTATTTGGTATTTCAAGAAGATAATATGGAAAAAAAAACAGACAAATAATCGCAAAACCTACTTGATCTAATTTGATCTCCGCCTCAGATGCTGTTTCTTCCTTTCTACGCGTGTAAACCTAAAGCGAAAAATCTGCAGTACTGGGCGTAATGGTCAGCTGGCCACTCAAGCGGACCTTATCTTTTGCTAGCAGGCCTCGAGTTTCTACAGTTCCAGAATTTTCTCCAGTCGCCACGGCTACTGGATCCTTGCCTTTCACCCTTTTTTTGGATTGTAGGTACTTGATAAGCTTTCTGTAGGAAGCAGATATAGATTCAGAAAATCAAAGTTTCTCAGAAGATCAGTATGTTTTGAACAGTATGTTCTGAACTTGAAGTTCCAAACACGCAAAAATTTTGTGTGAACACAATAGGAAAAAGATAACCACACCGACCTCAAGATATATGCGAATACTGCAAAAGCAACAGCACTGAAAATGTGAAGAACCGTCCTGTTAAATGATGCCATAACAAATATCTGTAATAATGGTACGAAAAGGGTTAACAATGTACTGTATTTCCTCCTCTGAGCTTTTGTAGATCTCATTGTCTGAAGTCTTCAAAATGATGAGAGTCATCTTCAAGAGAACGCTGAAGAGATGACTTGGTTCATGACCAATTTTAGACGAAGGAATTATAGCATTTGAGGCAGCCATGGCTTATAGAAGAAGTAGCATAAACTATGTTGCAGGGGCAAAAATAATTCATGCAGAAAATTCCATTTCTCAGATCTCTGCATTAGGAAAGTCACCAGTCTAATGGTGTGATTTTGATTCATCAATCAAATCATCGGACGACCCTAATGCTAGAAGTTTTTTTGAGTACCTCAAGCTGATAAAGGCATAACAGAGCAGAGTCCTAAAAAGGGGGATATGCAAACAAAATGCCAGAGCATAAATCTTTCCAATGAAAAAGCAGATAGGAACGTAATTCAACAGTTTTGCTGAATGAGGATACACACATCCGCCAGTGGTCTCTTAGCATCGATCGCGTTGTTTACCATTGCTCGTTGTGAAGTCGGCAACAAACGAGACGCAAAAAGTGAGCCAAAAAATTCAAGCGAAGATATCACGGACACCTAAAATCTAGAAATCTGAGACGATTCACTCTTATGTATTATGGATGAGGGAGGCTTTCAAAATGTTTAATATCTAATATTGGGTTGACACATATGTAATGCAACTATTTATATAGCTTTTGTCTTTTTGAACGTAGAGCATTTATTTTCTGGCAAGATAAGGATAATGATGTAAACTGCAAATAGACATTTTTGCCGAATTTGGCCACCTTATGTAAGGGTTACGGTGGGTTTATGGTATGACAGGAAAAATTTTAAATTGCGTCGGATTTGCTGAAACTGGCCTGTGGGAGTTTTCCGACATCTGATCACAAAAATGAGACCCGTTTTGCATGAAAAGGCCTCCTTCTTAAGGTCAAGGAATGAAATTAATTTAAGCGACAAGTGAATATGATATTCGTGTTCATTATACAGGATTAACCTATTGCGAAAGTTTTAGCGAATTCCGAGATTTTGCAGCTCAGTCATTGACAGATGGCCCTCCAAATTTGACGCATTTAACTTATACAACTTCTCAGAAGCGCCTTATCTCAATTTGTCTTCAATCATTTCTTTTCACTAATTCCAATGTGTCGACTTCTAGGCTACATGGTGCCTATTATTGCTTTGTGATATGTTCGATTTAGGTTGCGTAAGGCTTCATGCTTGCCAAAAAACTGTAAACTCCGATTTTCAGTAGTTTTCGAAAAATGCCTACATTTTTCCTACTATGTTATCGAACATTAAACAGTTTGCGCAGAGTTGCAGCTTACGTCACACTTTACATGATGGCAGAGAATCGAGATTGCTACATAAAATAAAAAAGCTATGGGAAAAGTTGCAAAACTTATGTGCCAACCTAATAAAAAAAGGTAGAGGAGAGTTATCCTGAATTACTTTGGATAATGGCAGAATTAAAAACTTGTAAGAAAAAGGACAACTACATGCAATGTTTACAAACAGCATGCATCACTTCGCATGCCGCAGGTTGTTTCAGCAGTGGCAGTACGAGGAGTCTCCCCCCCCCCCCCTCCTTCCATCCCACGAACAATTCGTGAAATTTTGGTTGCTCTGACGAGGAGAACTAGGCAAGTAATCTGTTCTCAATCGTAAATTTCGCACTTCTGAAAATTTCCACAGTTTTTCAAAAACGGAATTAGGTGCCTTTTTCGATATCAGTCTTGAGCTTGCGATAATCCTGCGATCTTCCCAAGAACCTTTGTGAAAAGTGTGTTTTATGCTATGCTTATTCACAGAAATCTGCACCAACCTCGCCCTTCGAAAGAATTTGGTGCTTAGGTGTTTATGCACTCACGGTGACTGCACTCTCGGCAAGTTCATAAAAGAAACCTCATATTTGCGCGTTCTCCTGGAGCATAGATTTCCAGTCATTTCAAATTAAAATGATGATTAGGGATCCGTCAGACTTTAGATGTTACCAGTGTTACCACTGTTACTAGCGTTACGTGTGTTACTTGTGTTACCCGTGTTACCACAGTTACCAGTGTTACTCGTGCTACTAGTATTACTCGTGTTACTGGTGTAACTCGTGCTAATAATGTTACTGTACCGCTTTTATTGCTGCTGAATAGTGAATAAAGATAAATGATAATGATTACTTCACTACTCAGCTACTAACGCGCGTAACGCTGGTAACAGTTGTAACAGTGACACGGGTAACATGGGTAACACGGGTAACACGGGTAGCACGGGTAACACTAGTAACGCGAGTAATACTAGTAACAGTGATAACACTGGTAACATCATTAAACTCTGATGGATCCCTTACATACAGTTCCGTCAACATGACTGGTTGTCGTCAACTAATCTGATTTTTTTTGACTGATACACAATTTTGACAACTGTTGTTGCAAACACTTTCAAAACCACCAAAATAACTGACAGAGATTGAGAATATTGTTCAGCAGCAACAGCCTTACAGTAACATTTCTCGTGAAATCAAATAGATAAAGTACAAATAAACGATATACAAAATAAAATTTGCGCATTGTTTATTGTTTGTACACAACAAGATTCGCTATGATTTCCAGACTATTCGAGAATTCCACATTGCTGCATACTGTACTCGTATAACTCCTTGCAGGCATTGTCGTCTAGCGCATATCTGCTTACTCTGGACACCTTGCAATCGCTGCAAAAACAATTACACATTTTAAGCAAAAAAATTTATTAAGCAAAAAAATTCAGTACAACTCACGCAAAATAGCCTCCGCTTATTCCTTCTACTTGCTTGCTCAAAGCCAGGTACAAAGGGGTTCGTGCACCACTCCAAGGACTTTTGAAGAAAAGCCACCTGTAAACTCGTATTCTATTTGAACCATGGGAGAATATGCTCACCTGAATGGATAGGAAATCTGTCGTAGAGGCGTAGAAAACAATATTGTATTGCGATATGCGTTACTGTTTACTACGCCTGGATGAAGAGAATTCACAGTGATTTGAGGAATGCCCTTTTCCTGTAGGCGTTTGCTCAGCTCACGTGCCAACATAATCTGAAGAGCTGTATTGCAATAAAGAAGCCATTTGTGCATTTGCCAAAAGATTTATAACGAAAAAGCAGAAATAATAAGTCACAGTCATATTCATGTAATTTTGGCGCTTGTAGGAATTTTTTTAGTTTATAATTCTTTGGAACTTTCATGCATCACATAGAGTAAGATAAAAAGCTAATGGTATTCGCAGCAGATTTTCTTTTTCCACCATTTTTTCAAACTTTCCCTTCTGATAGTAAACAAAATTTCAAACCATCGCTTTCATCTTATCCAACTTTAGCTAGTTTTTCAAAATCTTCTCTACAAATATTCGCGAAATACTGACTAACGGAAAATGATACGTTTCTCATAATTCTGACAGTCATTTCTTAAGCTAATCCTATGATGTTACAACCGTCAAATCCTAATGATTCAAAGGGTGAACGGTGCCTGTTATTGAAATCAAAAGATGATGATGATCGAGTTTTGGAACCATCATAGGATTTTAAGAGCAGTTTTTTAGCCTTCCATTATACAGCAAAAGGGCTTCAGTATCTAAGGCTACATTATCAAAAGTAGAGATTTTCATGTCCAGTCTTTCAAGTACTCACGATAGCCAATTTGCTGCGATTATATGGATCGATGCGTCCGAAACTTTGTTCGCCGTCGATAGTAGCAAGGTTTAGCGGATCGCTCAACCGATGCATTACTGAGGCTACGAATATGATCCTCGCTGCATGAGCTTTGGCCAAACCTGGTAGAAGCAGATGTGTTAGAAGAAACGGTCCTGAAAGTTTCAAATTATGCCGAGCCCCGAAATAGAAAGATGTAAGATGAAAAGCGAACTCCGGCTCTAAAATTGCGCGAATGTACATTTTTTGTAGGTTGAAAACTATCTAAGTTTTTTGCAGCTGCATGGCTTGGTGTGGAGTATTTTAAGCTGCAACTAAGGCATTCTCCCGCTGCTCAAAAGGGGTGGGGGGGGGGTGGGGAGAGTAGAAATTACTTCGACTGGGGTTTGCCAAGGGTATTGTGGAAATCATGGCGTCACAATCTTCAATGCGCATAACAGCAACAAGCATAAAACTTGAAATTATCAGGTTGATAGGTATTCGTGCACAAAAATTTTTGAAATTCCGTTACTTCCTCCTGCTTGAATGAAATCTACTGATTTGGTACATAATAGAGAGTGGAGATCTTGCGCTTTCAGCTTATGTTTAGATCAAGATTCTCTCATTGCATATGGCAACGATGTAAGATCTATCTTGTCGAGATAAAAGAAAGGGATTTTTTGATAATTGGCTGCCAAAAATGCTAAGCGTCTACCGAATTTTGTTTGAATTTTGATCTTGATTATGACCTACTTCTTTTTACAGAAACATGTTAGTGTGACCGGATGTTTCTACGAACAGTTATGATCGATTTTTTTGACTCACTTATTGATTTTGTTTCAAGTCGAATTTCTAAAATGTACTGTAGAGTACGGGTGTATGTCAAGAGGCGCGATTTTTACATATTGCCAAATGGACACCGATTAGCATCTAATAAGTGTTTTGCAACATTTTAAAACATCTAAATTTTTGAAGAAGATATATTAGATAGCTGCATGAGATCCTCAATCTTGCTGCCTTGGAATCAACTCAAAAAAACATTTCAAAGGTCAAAAACCCATGGAAATGCAGTTGAAAACAAATTTCTGAATATTTCGGTCAGTTTTCCAGCCAAAGCCACCAAGCTCAGCAATGTTATGTTAGACAGAGAGTAACCCAATGCACTCCATGTGGTACTTTTTGAAGACTCGCGTAGAACTGAATGGAGTTTTGAGTTGCCGATAGCCAAGGAATCGCGCCTCTTGACCGTCTCCCGTAAAGGAGTAACTACTTACCATCTAAACATGACATCATACTATATGAACTGAATAGTTCGTGCAAGCATTTTCAAAAAGCTTTTGGTGCAAGAATTGTGCACCAACTTGATATCAAGAAATGGTTACTCATTCGAAGGAAGGAGGGAAAAGATGCGCGAGTGAAAGCTCGAGGTGGCTGAAAAATGATCCCGAGAAGAAAAATTGCACTGCTTGCCTAGGTAATTACACTGCCAAGTCAATTCATGTCCATCGACTGTCCTCTCGTAGTTCGGGAGAAACATCACTGATGCATTGTTGATGAGAATGTCGATCTTGTCCTCCACTATAAGTAAAATACAGTCAAAATTTCAGAAAAAAAAAGTTCTATGAAAGTGTAAAAAATTTTAACCCACTCATCAACAGTTCTTTGACACACGTACGAATACTGTTGAAATTTGAGAGATCACATTGCAAAATAGTAAGCCGATCTGCATCGCATCCCGCCTGCAAAATTTATTTTGCGGATAGGTTAAAGTTCATCAGTTTGGGCACGTCTTTTTAGATTCCAAAGACTTTTTTTACAATAAGTCGATGGGTGCTTCGCACGTCAGTAGTTGGTGAAAAGATAAAAGACTATAATCAACTCTCAATGATTACCTCTACCAAGCTAGCTTTTGCAGTAGAGGCACGACCTTCATCTCGACATAGCATGTAAACCTGTAAGAGAGTCACACTTGTTGCGCAAACCAGAGCGTCGACATTTTTTTGGAGAACTTCATACCTTGACCTTTGCCATGTTCAGTCCTTTAGCAATTTCATAGCCGACTCCGCTGTTTGCCCCAGTCACCACCGCCACTAATCCCGCACTCGGTACTTTTTCCTCGGGAACGTTATCCAAAGACATGTTTCTAAGTGCAATGCGATGTAAGGCCAAAACATTTGCATTTGAGTACTTTGCAATTATTATGGACAAATCATGTACCAAGAGACTGCCCATAAGGACAAGAAATATAAGCAGAAATCAACTCTAAGAATATAGCCGCAGCAAGGTATGAGGACGAAGAGGTTCGAATATTTTCATGATATTAAGTCGACATAAGTCATGCTTCAAAGATTGTACAAAAAACCCATCATTTCAAAGTTTTTATGAGGAAATGAATGTAATATGGTAATTACTGTATTGAAAAGTTTGGAGCAAAATCAATAAGTCGAATAAGGAATTCTGAACACATAACTATTCGTAAAACATGAAATTCTCTTGCTGATTGGAGATTGTCATGAAACCGTGTAAATAAAATTAGTCACAGTATCTCCCTTCACAGCTTTCATCATCGTACAGAAACAGTGACTGCTCTAGCGAAAAACATCACAGAAAAGCGCATAGTATGAGTACTATACAATAGTAACAAATAAATACAAAACAGTCTTTTCTAAATGAAGGACTTGATTGTTTTGTATTTACCAGTGGCGTACCCAGGATTTCCCTTGGGGGGAGGGGAATTTTCTTTCGGACGAAGGTGCGTGGCGTTAGCCAGGCACTCCAGAAAATTATTTGGGATTCTTCTTAAAATGTTTGCTGCTGCCGTCACAGTCCCTGACCCCCTTAAATTTTCAAAAAAGAGGACGTGGCGGCGCCCCAGAAAATTTTTTTACAGGGCTAATTTGAATTTTTTAAAAATTTTCAAAAATCACTTCAATTGTTTACAAGTAAAACAAGCCGCTTGTACATTCTTATAACACATTCAAGTAACTTTCAAAATTTCATTCTCGGGGGGGGGGGGGGGGGGAGGGGGCGCCTCCCTCGGTACCCACTGGTATTCACAGATATTCAAAACTTGTACATGGATCAGATCTCTAGTACAGCTGTATTCTCTCAAAATTACATTTCCCTGTCCTAGAAATTGACCATAAAAACGTGTCTTGCTAGATGAAAAAAAATTATAAGATATCAGACAGCAAAGAACTTTTAAGTCATCGGTGATCCTACGCAACAGATTTCGTAACTTTTATTGCAGTAAATACAAAACTTACAGTACTTCAATAGCAATATGAAATAGGGGATATGTTTTGTACGAAAATCTTCGGTTGTGAAATATACGATAATCCATGAGAGACTGATACACAGATGCTTTTCGGTCGTCTACTCAACTGTGAGAACTTTGTCTAAGCTTGGGGAAGAATGAGGATATTGCCAGGTTCGGAATGTTCTGGAACAAAGAAAACAAATTGATACGATGTATGTGTAGCATGCACGAAGTTAGTGATCTGTATAGCAGCTGATTGTAATGAATGAGTAATGATATGTATGTCAGTGAGTAGAGGAGACAAGAGGGACTGAGCTACTAACAATGAGGAGGATGCTAATTGTAAACAGGGCCACGCGTATCGACTACTAGCTGGCTTCCCCGGCCTAGCCCGGGTTTTTTTTTTCATTGGGAAGGAGGTGGATGCTGTATTGATCGCAAGCATAGTCATCACCCTGCGAGATCCCATTCATGTTGGGCGCTGGGCATACTTCACGCGATTTCAGTCGCGACGCGATCTGGCACTTTGATTGTTCAAAATCCATCATAAAAGGTTGTTGAAAGTACAGAAAACAACGGAAGATAGGGCATTCAACCTGCGAACGTTCTACATGCTGTGCATTTGGGGTCTGCCAGTATTGAATTTGAAGACATCTGGCAAATTGCCAGATCGCTTGGCGACCAAAATCTGAGGTATGCCCGCGACCTTATGAAGGCTTACCCCAGGACAATTCCATTTCGATTCATCGCACCTTCGTGGTCCTGACACTAAAATGAGTTTTCCCGCAGTCCCTTACATGACTTTGGGGATTCGATCCAGTAATGATCAATAAGCTTCATTTCTTTTAGAGTACTGAAACAGATCAATAAATCAATAGAAGGGTCCAGTAGATCTCTGCCGGGTGTCGAAAACATTAGTGTGCAAAGATTGTGCCATTCCTTCACAAATAAAACTTTCTTCTTCGAGCATAGGAACGGCTTAGTCATAATGTTTGAGTTTTATAAGCATTGAGATTGATCTAGATGAGTTACATAAGGCTGATTTATTAGAGTTCCACCCGACACCCCATAAGTTTTGCCCCAAAATTTTGGAAAACTTGTGATTTACCCTGGTAACTCCCTCACTCAACAAATTTGGAAAACCTTGTCTTTTCAAGTAGTTCTCAAAGAAAAAAATTAGCATTAGTATATCACGACGAAATAAGTTGGTAGAGAAACTCAAATTGTAGATTTTTAGTTTTCGCATAGATAATTCTTGTTTATGGATCTGCGATCTAGTCCTTTTGGTTGATAATATTGTGCAGACTGGATGTTCCTACAAATAGCTGTGATTGATTTTTTCTTTATTGAGACATGATTTTGTTTCATATAAATTCTCTAATATGCATAGGTAAATGAAGCTTGATATACGCTATGAATTGTTTGTAATGAGATTGACATATTGTTTTTAACGTTTTTCAAACGATTCTTCTATATATATTGTTTGGACAGGACGGGGTCAACCTTGCAAAAGCATGCGAGTAATCTGTTTTCCATTGTATTAAGCTGTCCGAAAAATAATGTCGCATCGTGTTTTATCATGCAATATCCACTACAATATGAAGCTCGAACCTTCGCGCCAGGTTTGACCTGCGTGAAGTTTGGAGCCAGGTTTTATAAGGCACTGAAGATCTAAAAAAAACGAAAAAAATCGTATCTCCGTTCGGAAATGTCCTGGGAATTCCTACTTGTTCACGTATTGATTCACTATACCACACACTTTTACGCACATTTTCGTGGTTCTTTCATGGCTGGAAATTGAGAAAACAGAATATGGCATATTTTTGTTAAAGCAAACCTAAGCTTCTCTAAAAGACGTGATTCTGTAGCAACAACCTTTGGGAGCCTAATCATGAATTTCCAACTTTAGACAAGCTCTAGTTCTCGAAAAAAACCAAACTGTTTGCAAAAAACAATTTGGTTTTTTTAACCTGATTTTGTTTGTTGTACTGCAGCCATGGAATATAACACAAACTGTACAGGTGAATGTCTTATGTCTGGAGAGTACATGCCAGTGCAGATTCGAGTCCCTAAGACTTCCATGGATGGAAGATACGATTATTCGGCTGTTTGAAATTTTTTATATTTTGGAGAACTCTAGGTAGAGCAAGATTTGCGCGGAGATTTGTAAACCATCTTTTAGCGCTTGCTTTGCTCTATCATATGAACCCCATTCGCTGTTTTCTGTGGTCACTCTGTCGCGGTAGGATGCCATGCGACATTATTTTCCGGACAACCTAATAAATGGCTAATACAAAATTTTCTTGACAAAAAATCGACATCATGCCCCTTTAACAGAATCTGGTATCAAATACGCGAAAAATTTGGATAACTTGTAATTTTTTGGACAACGCGGCTAATACCACGCTCCTGCTTAAAAATTCTCTCTCTCCCCCTCCCCCCCCCCCCCCCCGCTCCTGTCCTGATTCATTCGATATATGGGAACGCTACAGAAGACCATACTCCTGCTGATTTCATAGTAGAAAGTTATTGTTCAGTCCTCCTAAGCTAGAATTTTTGTACAAATAAATTAAGAACTGTAGCTCTGCCAATATATTTGATTTCTCATCTAACTGGTGTGAATTCATGTGCACAATTTTTGAACTATTAGTTATCAGGAACACATCAGATCCACCCGAACGACAGATGGAGTTGGAATATCTATATTTGCACTCTGCAAGGAACAAAATGTACATTGTTTGATATAGTAAAACAGTATATACAGTGCATTTCTCGTACATTCGAAAACAAAGCACACAACCGATGTGCGGAATAAAATCTGTACAATAGCTATTATTTGTACACAACAGATACAAATTGATTACATATAACTTCTAAACTACTCAGAAACTCCACATTGCTGCAGACTGTAATCATACAACTCTTTACAGGCGTTGTCATCCAGCGCATATCTGTTTTCCCTGGCCACCTGGCAATCCCTGCAAAAAATAAAACCATTTGAGAACCAAAAACTTGCAAAATAACCTACGAATAGTAATTTCCGCTCATTCCTTCTACTTCCTTGCTCAAAGCCAGATACAGTGGTGTTCGTGCACCACTCCAAGGAGTTTTGAAGAAAAACCACCTGAAACGTTGTCGAATTCATCGATTCGTGGGAGGTATAACCTCACCTGAATGGATAGGATATGTTTTATGAGTGGAGAAAATAGGATTGTATTGCGATATGCATTGCTGTTCACTACTCCGGGATGAAGAGAGTTCACAGTGATGTGACCCAGCCCTTTCTGCTGTAGTCGTCTGCTCAACTCACGTACGCACATTACCTAAAATAGGTATATGCATAGATGCAATTATATGAAGAACCACATGTCCACTGCCACAAGGCTTCAAAGAGAAAAAGGTAAGGTAATAATAATAAGCTATGATATTATAGACAGGAGCCTCTCATAATCTTCGAATCCCAAGTCTCAGAAAAGCCCACCTCTATGCAAATAACTGACGCATTAGCATTCAACTATACATTTGTCGTATTTCTTCCACAGTCGAAACGAAGAAAAAATGATGAGAGTGAGATAACAAACTCAAGGTAGCAATCAAAGTAAGCCTAGCACATGCATTAAGAAGACCAAATATTTGTACCTTAGTAGGTGTCACATTTTGCAAAAGATACCAATTTAGGGTCAAGCTCGAAAAAAAATTATGCGACGACCTAACATGTAGTACATAAGCTTTCTGATGAGCTTCCTTAGCTTTCTCATATATCTTGTAGGGTGAAATTTGGTTTATCATTGGATTCGACAGAGCAGAGGAAGCTCTACAAGCTCGCTCCAGGAAGTTTGCAACAGCTTGATCAACATGAAAATTGGCGCCAAAATCTAGATCTAGCAAACTAAAAAAATTAATTTTCGCCATTTACCAATGATCTCTCCTTGCACACGCACTGCAGAATTTTTTGTGACAAGCAACCAAGGAAAAATTAATGTGAGGGAATGGCAAACTATCCCCTAGCGCTTCTGGATTTTTTTCTCATACTTACATGGATAAATATTTTCAGTTACAACCACTATTACGCACTCCTTTAGGCACCCTACATACTTGCACGAATATCGCTCTAAAATTAAATTAGTCACAAACTGCTTTTAGTGCTTTCAAAGGAAGCACATTATTAACATAAACAATCATAAATTTTTCATATTCAATATAATGTAAATGGCTAAGAAAAACTCTACAAAAACCGCATTGAAGTTCAAGTAGGTCGTGAAATGAAAAAATGTAAGCCATTGCAAGTAGAATAAAACAAAACAAATCCATTCTCGTACTCACAATAGCCAATTTGCTCCGATTGTATGGTTCGATGCGTCCGAAACTCTGTTCGTCATCGATAGTTGCAAGATTGAGAGGATCGCTCAGCATGTGCATGATAGAGGCAACGAATATGATCCTTGATGAATGAGCTTTTGCCAGAGCTGGCAGAAGTAACTGGGTGAGGAGAAAAGGCCCTAAAGTGTTTGAGCATGTAATCATTTCCCAAAATATCAAAGAAATGAAAGCGCTGCTTTATGGGGAAATGATCACTAGACCACGAATAAGGAACAAATTTAAATTTTAATTTAAATTGAGCTGTTTTACCTTCTGAAGGCAATTCAAGAATCATCAAAATTTTTCACAAAGTTCCCAGGTAAATGAGATTTACTTGTTTTCGCAATTTCTATAAGTTTCCTCCGTCATTTAGAATTCTTACTGTTCTTGCCCTACCCTACTTTTGCAGAAGATTTGAAACAACATGGCTGAAAGGCTGAGTCTATCGATGGACGTAAACGGCATGCATTATCTACGTCTGCTATAATCCGTTGCGGAATTCTGCAAAGATATGCACCTTTCATGTCGCAAATAATGGAATCCATAAGGCAGGAGAAAACTCCAGAAAGCAAATGTGGCTCATTCGGCTCATTCTGCGCTGGACACTAAGGGTTGGGGAAGTTAACCTTGCCTGAGAAAAGTAGCTTGTTTCATACCAAGGTAATTGCACTGCCAAGTCATTTCATGTCCATCAACAGTCTTTTCGTAGTTAGGGAGGAACATCACAGAAGCGTTGTTGATGAGAATGTCGATCTTGTCCTCTTCTATAAAATCACGTCAAAATTTTTTGATCTGTCTAGAAATCCAGTATTGTAGAAAGGTTTTTAACCTACTCATTAACAGTTCCTTGGCGCATGTACGGACGCTGTTGAAATCTGAGAGATCACATTTCATAATGATAAGCAGATTTGGGTCGCATCCTTTCTGCAAAATTTGTTCTCGCAAGTTCATTAAATATTTATACAACGATCTATAAAGCCCAAACTATTATTCTATTAGGTTGTGTAATAAGTTCTGTCCCAATTTTTCTTTCGACTTTTTATCAGTAATAAATACCCTTTTCGGAATAGCGTGTATATGCAAACTCGTATGCTCCATCCTCCAACACAGCAGGATATTGGTAACGAAGAAAATAAATTTTCGACATCTTTTTTCTTTCCAAATTTCCCCATTTCGCATTGGTAATTGTTAATCAACAAACTTCAAAACAATTAAAACAAGCTATTAGACTCTTATGTTTGTAATGTGACTGTTTGTGCTTGTTCCCTTCCTTCTACCAACTTTCTGATGCCATTTTTTTCAGAAGTCGGCGAAGCAAATTTGCTGCGGCGATATTCGTCGCCTCGCCTACCTAAGCTGTGTGGCCCCCAAAAATTATTTTTTTAAGTCACTAACTTATGATTTCGATGATTTTTTAGCCAAAGACCATCCCTACTGCTTATTCTGAATTATCCGTCTATCGTCTTTTCTCAGCACTGCCTTCAGATGCCCAACGTCGGCACTGAAAAGACGTTGAAATAAAGACTTTTTCTGAGTTTAGAGAAAAGTTTTATTGAACTCATCTGCACTTTTGAACCTCTGCAAAAGCTATAGCCATTCGTTCCTTACACTCAGCAGATTTTTCGAGCTGTTTTGCAAGCATTCTAACCTAAACGGCGGATGACTCAAATTAGTTTTCGAAAATGTATTTTTTTCCTCTTTGATTTTCCAAACTCAATACTGTGAAACTTATTGATAAAGGAAACGGAAGTGTGGTAGAGCAGGCTTAGAGCTTTCAAATGCATATAAACATTTTGCAAAAAACCGTTCAAAATCTTGTGAAAAAATCGAAAAAAAATGGGACAGAACTTATTACATAACCTAATAACATTCAGACGAAAGTTAATGATGATCGAATGCTGACAGTGAGATGAAAAAAGACAACAAGCTTTCAGCAGCTTGTACGGTACTGAAAAATTACCTCTACCAAAGTAGTCTTCGCAGAGGATGCACGCCCTTCGTCTCGACAAAGCATATAGACCTAGAAACAAACCACGCTCTCGCTCAAGCGAAGAGTGGAACGTTTCATGAATTACTGCTTCATACCTTAACCTTCTCTAAGTTCAGTCCTTTGGTTATCTCATAGCCAACTCCGCTGTTAGCCCCTGTCACCGCCGCCACTAGCCCCGCACTCTGTATCTTTTCCTCGGGAACGTTGGTCGCAGACATCTTCCTGAATGCAATGCACCATCGCAAACAGATTGGAAGAAAAGTACGTTTTATCCATAAAGCAAGCAATTGATAGTAACGAATGTAGACCTTAATAAAAGGCTAGAGATATGTCGTGCGCGGGATGAACATATGAATCCAAGACAAACTTTGTCCATTTTTACGATCTCAAACAGGGGGTTCAATCTACTTTTTAGGTGGATTTGTTGCTAGAGACGGAGGCCACAATAGCAGGGTGTTGTACAAAAATTTGATATCACAATGAGTTTTCAGAGCTAGAATGTTGCAGCGTTCAAGATTCTTTATGGGCGGCATTATAATTTCAGTTCTGCAGATTGCAGTCATTTTTATGCTTTTCTCAGTTACAGTCCGACTATGATATGTGACATACAAGTATTAGATGTAATAGGTTCTACTTCTCTCGAGGGAGTTTCTTCTTTATATTCTATTTCGTGCTGAAACTGTCCTCTAGCAAAATTCGCTACTACGTTCCCCCATCCCTGAGATCCTTGACAAAATCAGAAAAATCTAGACTTTAACGATAAAGATATGAAGCAAGAACCCACCTTGACAACTATGCTATGTCGCAGATAAGAGGCTAGAATGCTCGAAAACGGCTCAAAGGATCTGCGAGTGTATCAGCAGAATTTTATAGCATCGCAGGTTGCTCAAAAGTGCTAAAAAGTTTTGAAAAAACTTATAAGCTTGAAGATGGGTCTCCTTTCCAAAGCGTCTCTCTCGTTAGGCATCTACAGGTCCACATAAAGTGTAACACAACAATAAAGTTTCATAATCGTGTTCACCTGATAAGACAGAGATACTCGCCTCTAGCTAGAATGCAAGCATTTATTCTCTATCAGATCTCTCCCATGAATCCTTCACATTGCGCGCAAACTTTCATCAGGGGACTTTTTAAAATCAGATGACATGGGTTAAACTCTTATTTCAGATAAACAGAAAAGAGTATCCATGGGGGTTAAGAATGAGCGAGTTAGAAGGTCAAACATCATTTTTCAATGTCGAATGATGAATTTCACACCAAAGCAGTATTTTCATTTCGCTGTGAACTATCTAATGCTAGGTTTTGTTAAATAATTCCAGATAGCGTCCACAGGACTGCTCTAGCTCGAAAAAATATTATAGCCCCTCCCCCAGTTTGCCTTTGGCCTTTTCCAAATCTTTAATAACTGCGATTTGCTAGTTAGCGGCTGCTGTCAATTCACCTCTACGTTAGACCAATTCTAACTAAGAACCAAAGTCAGGTGTAAACAAAAACGGATTTTTCGCAGGAAGATCTAGAAATGAGAGAGAGCTTGTAGAGAAGAATGATACGAAGATGGAATTTTGCTCTAGTTTATATTTCCGTCTTGAAGCAAAAAATCTTAAATTTTCTTATAACAAGGGAATGATGCAAGTACTTTCGTAAAGCACTCAAAGCTTCCGACCACATCTATTCAATTTGTCCTTTAAGGTACTAGGAAAACACCAAACGGAGATGCCGCAGAACTTATCACACATCCGAATACATACAATGAGAGATGACCGAGAGCTGAAAAAGAGGAACACAGACAGAGAACACAAGTACTCGAGATAGAACTGCGAAAATAAGTCTAGACACAAATCAATTCAGAGTATGCTAGCAAGAAAGCCATAAAATCAGTGATGATCACAGCTGATCGTCGTGAATGAAAAAATCGCAATATAGTGAGTGAAGCGAGAGTATAACGTACTGAGGGAAATGATAAATGTAAACAAGTGTGACCTTATCGATCCGCCGACGTTGTTTACCGCTTCTTTCGGGGGTCTGCAAATCTGCAAAACAACACATAGACGGAGGTGATCGAACATCATGTAAACATAGAAGCAACACTCAGTGCTAGTGTTTTCCATTGGGTTGTTTCAATTCTACTCATTTTTAGCCTTTCTAAGTGCTAAGTCTGGAGAAAAAAGCGGTTTTTCACGAACATTGGTTATACTACGTGAAAGCCTAGCTTTTCATGAATACTTTTTCAAGAAGCTTGTTCTGTGCTTCCGTACCTCAAAGGACACTAAAGCGAATGTAGAAAATTCCTTTTTGCTTCACTGCCATGAAAACAAAGGCAAAGAAGGATTTATGTACCTTTGGCCAGTATGGGGCCTTCAATTGTTATGTGACTTTGAAAAAAATTAATATTTATTTTAATAGGATATTTTCATTTATTTTGGGCTTAGTGACATTAAGAGTTCACCGAGATGTAGTTTTCAGAAAATCTTGGACTCAAAAAAATCAGCATATGACATGTCGTTGTGGTCCTTATAAGTCTATAAATTGAAAACACAATGCAATCACGGAACTTTCGCTCTATATAGTGACAATAGCCAAGACCATTTAATTTTACAAGAACGGTGGGAGTATTCTTGAATGCTAGAGGTGAAAGAAACTGAAAAATCCGAAGATGAGCAGCGAATTAAGTGGCCCTTTCAAACCTTTTCAAAAATTCCTAGAAATATTCGGATGAAATACAAGATTAGCAGCACCGTTCAGCCGACTACGAGTACACAACAAGCCGTGCTTGTCCATTCTAGTACTAGGTTGTCAAGAAAATAATGTCGTTTTTTACTTGCTTGCTTTAACAAAGCAACCAGACTCAACCCAATAAAGGGTAAGGGATACTGTTCGATAGAGCAAAGCAAGCTCTACAAGACGGCATTCATAATATTGCGCCAAGTTCGATCCACGGGAACTTCGAACTCAAAATCTAAAGATTTCCAAATGCCAAAAAATCGAAAAAAATCAGATCTCTGTCCAAATAATTCCTACGGACCTTCCACTCACACATACTTTCGATATCAGACACCCATATTTGCAGTTGCTGTATTTTTTCCCTGATTAGAAACTGAGAAAACGGAAATTTTCATGATATTCTCAATGCAATGCTGAGCCGTTCTTGCATATTTGATTTTATACTACAAGCTCAGGTTAACGTAACTATAGAATTTCGGCCTATCCCGAGTGGTAGTTTTCAAGAAATGTCAATTTTAGCACTGAAACTGAAAAAAAGGGAGCTGAATCCAATATTTCTCGAAAACTACCGCTCCGAATGGGCTGAAAATTCGCAGTTATACTTACCTAGGCTTGTAGTGTAGAACTATGTATGCCAGGACGGCTCATCATTGCTTTGAGAATATCATGAAAATTTTCGTTTTCTCAGTTTCTAATCAGGAAAAAATACAGCAACTGCACATATGGGTGTCTGATATCGAAACTATTGACGTGTGTGAGCTAGGTCCGTAGAAAATATTTGAACGGAGATCTGATTTTTTTAATTTTTGGGCATTTGGAAATCTTTAGATTTTAAGTCGAAGTTTGTGTATCGAACCTGGTGCAATCTTAAGAACGCCATCTTGTAGAGCTTGCTTTGCTCTATCGAACAGTATCCCTTACCCTATGTTGGGTTGAGCCTGATTTCTTTGTTAAAGCAAGCAAATAAAAAACGACATTATTTTCTTGACAACCTAATACATTCCAGGATAGGTCATGTTTTCTTGAAGTGGTGGCTCCTAAAAGATAGTGTGTAGAGATTTTCGCTCAGATAATCATCCTCTTTGGTGCAAAGACTTTGCAGTGTGCAGTACACAGCTAAGGATTTGTAGGATATAATACGATTTTACGCTAGCAAAGATTGTCAAAAGTCATGGTTATTTGAAGTCAAACCTTGGAAACGGGTAGAATATTTGAAACGACCCGATAGATCGTCATTTACATATGTATATTTACTTATCTAGTATCTTGTAACTGATGACCATGATTTGAGGCTTTTATCACGATTCACATGCAATATTGGAAGGAGAGTACTGCAAAGACTTTTAAGATGGAACTAATTCAGGTTTCCTGTGAGACATTCTTTGTGGCTTTTATGGTACTTCTCGTAGCCACTATTGAAAAGGCCAGCTGTCTTATGGAAACGATCAAAGAGCGCGAAGCATCTTTGAATCCTGATTGTTTCTAAACTTTCGCAAATTCTTGCATGCAAAATTGCACAATCTATGAGAGACCTGATATATCTGCCAAAAAATGCGCTAGATTTTTAAAAGCTATGGAATTAAATACCTAGTAATTCGATGTTAATCTGACGGAAACGATGATTGACAATGAGAATCGATCGCTCCATAAGAAATAAAACAACACATCTTCTAGACTGTGAAATATATGATTTGAGATACCTTCAATTTTTCAGATGCATAATTTATCTTTTATCAATTGACTAGCAAACACATACCTATAAAAATGAAAAAAGTCATCCTTGAGAAAGCATTTGATGGATCATAATAATCGTCAATATATTCAAGCAAACGATTATCTAAGGTAAAATACAAAGTGTATAAATATAAGGTAGATAGGCTAATATCAACTAAGCAGCAATACCACACTGCTGTAAGCTGTAGTCATAGACTTCTTCACAAGCTCGATCATTCAAGGCGAGAGGGTTCTCTCTAGCTATCTTGCAGTCCCTGGAAATTTTCAGTTTGTTATGTTATTCACAGTCGTAGCTACCTAGATGCTTATCATACGCACATGAAATATTTTCCACTGATGCCATCAACATTCTTGCTGAGAGCGAGATAGAGGGATGTTTGTGCACCATCACGATCACTTTTCATACAGAGCCACCTGGAAGAAGACTGCCGTAATGGATTTGTATAATGACTGCATATAGTCTACCGAATTGGAGCGATAAGCTCCTGGAATGGTGTCTTGGCCAGAATTGTGTGTCTGCATAGGCTGCTGTCCACTACACCAGGATGAAGAGAGTTTACAAAAACATTGTGGATACCTTGCTTATGGAGACGTTTGCTCAGCTCACGTGCGTACATCACCTTCAAAAAATATTGAAACTTCTGACGATGATCACATAGCAAAGAAACGAAAAAAGTGACCATCATTCTCTGAGGAAACTTAGTTGCAGGTGTCAATCCTAAATCTGTAGCTGAAATTTTCAGTCCCGTCAACACTTTCACAGCTTTTCTGTAGGTGGGTTGGATAATTTTACCTGCGTTTGCATTGCTTGTGAATTTTTATGATAGGCTAGGTTATTTTATCGAGAATGATTTTTTGATCAGATAAGTTTACCTTAGCTAGTTTGCTGTGTGTATAAGGGCTGAGTAAACCAAATGCCTCCTTATCGTCGACAGTCGCGAGATCCAAGGAACGGCATAGATGGTGCAGACGTGATGAGACGAATATAATTCTTGCACTCGAAGCTCTTTTAAGGGCTGGCAGCAGCAACTCTGTCAAGAGCACATGACCTAAAAATACAAACTAGGTCTAAACCCTTACAATCTTACCATCAAATTACAACAAATCTGCGCTAGGCAATCAAAACGAAAGGGAAGGCACAAAATGTGTTTACCTTACCAAGATGATTGCTTTGCCATGTCACTTCGTGACCGTCAACTGTTCTCTCATATTTCGGATAGAACATTATACCAGCATTATTTACGAGTATGTCTATTTTTTCTTCATCTAAATTTGTTGTTTTGATTTTTGTGATTGCTCAAGCTCTATGCCAAAACTCCAGGAGCTGAAGCTCACCTCTTAAAATGCTTTCAGCGCATTCTCGAACAGTACTGAAATCTGCCAGGTCACATCGTAAGAGGACGAGTTTGGTCGAATCGCAGCCCATCTGCAAGTTATTTAACTTTCGCCTTATATCAAAGATTGCTCGGCAAAATCTACCTGAGCCAATTTGGTTCTCGCTTCGACACCTTTCTGGGTATCCCGGCAGAGCATATACACCTAAAAAAAAGAAAAGTGGTGAATTGCGTCATACCCACTATAGATAAGATTTGCCATACCTTCACTCTGGCTGCGCTCAATCCTCGTACAGTTTCTAAACCGATGCCAGTGTTTGCACCGGTTACTACTGCCACGAGTCCTTCTCCAGAGACTTGCTCGGTAAACTGCCCACCTTTGAAGAACCTCCTGCAAACTTGAATTACACTATACAATCAGGCAGGCCATTCACAACTTCCTTTGTCCTATAATTCTGCCCGCCAAACTAGAAAAATTCTAGTAATTAGTTTTATGGACTTTGGATGCTCGATTTTTCCTTTGAAAATTATTCTTCGTTCCTTGGCAAAGATTGGCGGTCTGCACAAAAGAATGTTCGCAACTTTCAATCTTTTCTATTTATCTTTAAGCTATATCGTCGTTCATTAAGAATTTGAAAAATGCTGTATTTGATGTTATTGCATGGCAACCTTGAGCAGCAAACTAAATCAATTTTCAGCACCTTCCCTTCAGGTGACGTTGATTATATGCATCAGCAAATACCAGCTTCTTAGGCCCTTGAATACCCACTTACACCTTTCCAAAGACTTTATCAGATTAAAGAACGATAATAAAGCCAACTAGTAGGTAACTATAAGGTTGAGACAAACCTCACAATGTTGAAAGCTACCGAGATTACGGCAACGACGAAAATCAAAGGCTGAATACAAAAGAGCGCGATTTTGCTCACATTTACGTTCATCACTGGAGGAAGACTTCTGACCTATAAAAGTGCCTGGTGTCGAAAAAATCAAGTTATCACCATTTCAAACACTGGGTGATAAAAGTGAAGACGCTGAGTGAATACACGTACATATATGCTACAAAGCGAAATGGGAATTATTAGAAACTGTAAAAGAATGTATGTACATAAACACAGGCTATAAGCAATGAAAACCTTATGGAATGACTAGTTAAACATCGCACAATTTCCCTTCGACTTTTCTAATGTGTAAACCAAAATGTGGCCGGTAAGTATGAGCGTTACTACTACAAGTGATATATCTCTTTCTGGAAATGGTCCTATCATGACTGCTAATATGTTGCAAATTATAGACAGTCCCTATATTCAGGTGTATGAAACGCGCGAATTGAAGCCTTTTTATGCAAACTTGACTCCCCAGTCTTTACCACTTGATGGTCATTGCTGCGCGATCAGCCACCAACTTATTTATATAATAGTATGTACCTATTCTATTATATCATAGAAATGAGGAATTACTGTTTTTAAGGTGAAATCTTATCATATGTTCTACAAAACAGGCCTTAAGATCTAGGAATTTGATTAGTAGACCTATTGTAACGGATTCGCAGTGAGTGCATTTTCTAGATAGCAGCATTTGACGCATTAGTTTCAGGATGATGAAGTCTGTATGCATGTGCAGGAACCCAGTCTTGTAGAAATATAGCACATTAAGATGCCCCGTTTTAGGCATGCAAACTTAATCTCATAAAAATGCGTTTTGTACGGAAACTTTCGCAAATAAGAATGTGACGCACTAATTCTCTGCCACCCTGTACACTAATATTTTCACTTCCATATGATTCCTCCGCTGATTATATCACACAATAAACCTTATTTTGCTCGATCTAATGCTTTTTTTTAAATTTTTGTAAAAACTATGCATATTCCTATATTGATACAAAATTGATATTGATTGGTACAAAATTCCAGAAAGAAGCCGAAGCTTTCGACCTCAATCTGGCTAAACTTGACTCTCAAAAAATTTTCTCAAGTAACTGCAGAGAATTCATTGGTAGGTGGGTGAAGGATGTTTAAATCAAATTTTATATTGATCCTCTTCGAAAAATTTTTTTCAAATATTCTGTAGTTTCAGAAGTACTCGAAACAACGTTGATAATAACGAACTCGATCTCTCCTCAAGTTATGAGCATTCTCATCACTGCGCGGCACTTTCATGTTGGTAGTATCAAAAAGTGAAATTTGCAGAAATGTAAAGGAATTTTGATGTTCTAGTCTGTAAATAACACAGTGACTTGATTTGAAGTTTGTGCAGCCCAACATTTTTGGTCTATTGTTTACTAGCAAAAATTTCAAAAATAATATTTGTATTTCGAGATTATGAAAGCACACAGAACGGTACCATGACTGCCATAGAAAGGCTATGTCAAGAGGCGCGATTTTTTTATATAGACACCAAAGGTCATTGATAGTAATAACGTTCCGGAAGAATTTCAAATTTTCGAGAAATCATACAAGATCGTTGCGTAAGCTATTCAAATTTATTCCCTCAAATAATATTTAAGACATAAGTGATAGTTTGAAACCTCATAATCATGCAGTCAATGACAATTTCGTGAACAACTCAATCACTACGTAATATATAACGAATTCGTTGATTACGCAATAGTCCTCTGATAGTTGGATTATGGCAAACGAGGAGGCCGCAGACGTAAAAATTATGATGAAATACACTAATCTTTGGAACTGGATTGCTGCCAAGTGGCATGCGTTTTGGAACGCTGCCAAATTTCAAAACGAGTGACCAAGCATATTTTCGTAAAAGGGTCACACGTATTTCGAAAGGCAATCATGAGGCCGCAATGATTTTGAGACTGGGTCGCCAGCGTCCGGGTGTCCGGGTGGTTATTTGTAGCTTTTTTCCAGCTTGTTATGTGTCTTTCAAATATGTACTCCTATTAGTTGCTTTTGAAATGATGTCAAATTGCGTAACAGCGTAACTTGAGCTAAATTCATCTAAGTTCCCAACTCCTGTAAAAATTCTCTGAAGAACAGTCACTCTAGGATCGTCTTGCTTCCACATGTAGACAAGAGAGAGTGTGAGTAACTTGGTCTCGCTGGTACTTTTGGAAACTTTATCTAATAACAGCCTTGCTTTTGCTTGTTAATGGGTCCCGCTGGTGCTTTCAACTAGAAATCGGTGTGTAAGCGGCACGTAGGGCTATTTGATCGGGCAGGGGGATAGATTTTTACGTTTGGGACAGTTCTTATAATTTTTGAACGGTCTTCAAGCGGCACGTAGGGCAACTTGATCGGGCAGGGGAACAAATTTTTGTAAGTTTGGGGCAGTTGTTATAATTTTTGAACGGTCTTCAAGCGGCACGTAGGGCAATTTGATCGGGCAGGGGGACAGATTTTTGTACGTTTGGGAGTTCTTATAATTTTTGAACGGTCTTCAAGCGGCACGTAGGGCAACTTGATCGGGCAGGGGAACAAATTTTTGTAAGTTTGGGGCAGTTCTTATAATTTTTGAACGGTCTTCAAGCGGCACGTAGGGCAATTTGATCGGCCAGGGGGACAGATTTTTGTACGTTTGGGAGTTCTTATAATTTTCGAACGGTCTTCAAGCGGCACGTAGGGCAACTTGATCGGGCAGGGGGACAGATTTTTGTACGTTTGGGAGTTCTTATAATTTTCGAACGGTCTTCAAGCGGCACGTAGGGCAACTTGATCGGGCAGGGGGACAGATTTTTGTACGTTTGGGACAGTTCTTATAATTTTTGAACGGTCTTCAAGCGGCACGTAGGGCAACTTGATCGGGCAGGGGAACAAATTTTTGTAAGTTTGGGGCAGTTGTTATAATTTTTGAACGGTCTTCAAGCGGCACGTAGGGCAATTTGATCGGGCAGGGGGACAGATTTTTGTACGTTTGGGAGTTCTTATAATTTTTGAACGGTCTTCAAGCGGCACGTAGGGCAACTTGATCGGGCAGGGGAACAAATTTTTGTAAGTTTGGGGCAGTTCTTATAATTTTTGAACGGTCTTCAAGCGGCACGTAGGGCAATTTGATCGGCCAGGGGGACAGATTTTTGTACGTTTGGGAGTTCTTATAATTTTCGAACGGTCTTCAAGCGGCACGTAGGGCAACTTGATCGGGCAGGGGGACAGATTTTTGTACGTTTGGGAGTTCTTATAATTTTCGAACGGTCTTCAAGCGGCACGTAGGGCAACTTGATCGGGCAGGGGGACAGATTTTTGTACGTTTGGGAGTTCTTATAATTTTCGAACGGTCTTCAAGCGGCACGTAGGGCAACTTGATCGGGCAGGGGAACAAATTTTTGTACGTTTGGGGCAGTTCCTATAATTTTTGAACGGTCTTAAAGCGGAACGTAGGGCAATTTGATCGGGCAGGGGGACAGATTTTTGTACGTTTGGGAGTTCTTATAATTTTCGAACGGTCTTCAAGCGGCACGTAGGGCAACTTGATCGGGCAGGGGGACAGATTTTTGTACGTTTGGGACAGTTCTTATAATTTTTGAACGGTCTTCAAGCGGCACGTAGGGCAACTTGATCGGGCAGGGGAACAAATTTTTGTAAGTTTGGGGCAGTTGTTATAATTTTTGAACGGTCTTCAAGCGGCACGTAGGGCAATTTGATCGGGCAGGGGGACAGATTTTTGTACGTTTGGGAGTTCTTATAATTTTTGAACGGTCTTCAAGCGGCACGTAGGGCAACTTGATCGGGCAGGGGAACAAATTTTTGTAAGTTTGGGGCAGTTCTTATAATTTTTGAACGGTCTTCAAGCGGCACGTAGGGCAATTTGATCGGCCAGGGGGACAGATTTTTGTACGTTTGGGAGTTCTTATAATTTTCGAACGGTCTTCAAGCGGCACGTAGGGCAACTTGATCGGGCAGGGGGACAGATTTTTGTACGTTTGGGAGTTCTTATAATTTTCGAACGGTCTTCAAGCGGCACGTAGGGCAACTTGATCGGGCAGGGGGACAGATTTTTGTACGTTTGGGAGTTCTTATAATTTTCGAACGGTCTTCAAGCGGCACGTAGGGCAACTTGATCGGGCAGGGGAACAAATTTTTGTACGTTTGGGGCAGTTCCTATAATTTTTGAACGGTCTTAAAGCGGAACGTAGGGCAATTTGATCGGGCAGGGGGACAGATTTTTGTACGTTTGGGAGTTCTTATAATTTTCGAACGGTCTTCAAGCGGCACGTAGGGCAACTTGATCGGGCAAGGGAACAGATTTTGTACGTTTGGGGCAGTTCTTGTAATTTTTGAACGGTCTTCAAGCGGCACGTAGGGAAATTTAATTGGACAGGGAATGGGTCCCGCTGGTGCTTTCAACTAGGAATCGGTGTGTAAGCGGCACGTAGGGCAATTTGGTCGGGCAGGGGGACAGATTTTTGTACGCTTGGGAGTTCTTATAATTTTCGAACGGTCTTCAAGCGGCACGTAGGGCAACTTGATCGGGCAGGGGGACAGATTTTTGTACGTTTGGGAGTTCTTATAATTTTCGAACGGTCTTCAAGCGGCACGTAGGGCAACTTGATCGGGCAGGGGGACAGATTTTTGTACGTTTGGGAGTTCTTATAATTTTCGAACGGTCTTCAAGCGGCACGTAGGGCAACTTGATCGGGCAGGGGGACAGATTTTTGTACGTTTGGGACAGTTCTTATAATTTTTGAACGGTCTTCAAGCGGCACGTAGGGCAACTTGATCGGGCAGGGGAACAAATTTTTGTAAGTTTGGGGCAGTTGTTATAATTTTTGAACGGTCTTCAAGCGGCACGTAGGGCAATTTGATCGGGCAGGGGGACAGATTTTTGTACGTTTGGGAGTTCTTATAATTTTTGAACGGTCTTCAAGCGGCACGTAGGGCAACTTGATCGGGCAGGGGGACAGATTTTTGTACGTTTGGGACAGTTCTTGTAATTTTTGAACGGTCTTCAAGCGGCACGTAGGGAAATTTAATTGGACAGGGAATGG